GTTCATTGTCTCCCCTTTGCATATGAAGTCATTGAACAATTTCCCTGAACAAGTAGATGCGGGATTAGAAAACCTCTCTGTCAGACCTTGAACTGGTGTTCCTCCAATCTCACTGTGCGTCAGAGTCACGGGGGTGGTATGGGAGAGACACTTATTCAAATTCTTATTTCCAGGCCCCACACCTAGGAAATTGGATGCATTTGGCCTGGGATGTGGTACCTCTGATGCTGAGGTTTTGTGAGAGCTGAGTGACATCACAGAACAGGGGCAGCTACAGAGGAGGGCCAGCCAGAGAGCCCTGGTCAGTGAGTAATGGAAGCTAGAGACAGATACAGCGGTATGCTGGAACAAGCGCAGAACACCTAGCAGGAGCTGGTTGTTGAAACTGAAGGGATTTTGTGAGTCTTATTAAGCACAGAAGTATTTTTATATATATATATATATATAAAAATATATATATACATACCTGGAATTATACAAATCATATTAAGAACAAAGGCAATGCATAGTCAAAACTCATCACTTCCTGATTATGTTATCACACTTCATTATCCTCTGTTGTTGAGGTTATTTATGTCTGTCGTATCTGTGTGGTGGAGATGCTATATGTGTTAGTTATCTACTCCTGTGTAACAAATTACCCCACCTTAGCAACTTAAAAAGAGCCCTGGTGGTGCAATGGTTAAGTGCTCAGTTGCTAACTGAAAGGTTGGCTGTTTGAACCCACCCGTGACTCTGAGGGAGAAAGAGCTGGCAATCTACTCCTGTAAAGATTACAACCTAGAAAACCCCATGGGGCAGTTCTCCTCTGTCCCATGGGGTCGCTTGATGGCACCTAACAGCAACAGCAACAGCAGTAGCTTAAATCAACACACATTCATTATCTAAGGGTTTCTCCCAGGAATCTGGGAGCTGTTTAGCTGGATGGTTCTGGCTCAAGGTCTCTAATGAGGCTGCAGTCAAGCTGTTGGAACTGCTGTCATCTCAAGGCTTGGCTGGGGCTGAAGAGTCTGCTTCGAAGCCCCTCACATGGTTGTTGAAAGGCCTCAGTTCCTCACTGGCTATTTGGCTAAGGATGTTCAGTTCCTCCTTGGCTGTTGGCCAGAGGTCTCCTTCAGTTCCTTGCCACGTGGGCCTCTCTGTAGGGCAGCTTACAACCTAGCAGCTGGCATGCCCCAGAATGAGTGATTAGAGAGAGAGGGAAAGAGAGAGAGAATAAGAGCAACCAAGATGAAAGCTGCAGTCTTTTTATAACCTAATTTTGGAAGTTACATCTTTCACTTCTGCTGTATTCTGTTCCTTGGAAGCCAGTTACTAAGTCCAACGTCCAGCCTACACTTGGGGGAAGGGAATTCAGCTCCACCTCTTGAAGGGAAGCAGCATCAAAACAATTTGTGCACCTGTTTTGTAACCACCACACCATGTAATGGCATGCTACTGCGTGTCTCTTCCGAACGCCCTGTTCGGTGATGTCACACTGGTAATTGAAAATCAGCCATGGTGGGAGTCATTACACCACAGAAATGGGCAAACACTCTAAATCAAGGTTTGGTTTTTTTTCTCCCCCCAGAAAGCTGAGTGTTAAACGCCTACAAGCACACCACTGGACGGATATAGACCTATGCGTTTGCAGAACTTTTGTAGAACTGCTAAGTTGTAAACAGGGCTTTGGAAGAAGGGGAAAATAAGGTTTGGGGTGCAGAATGAGACAGTTCCTGGATTTGTAGGTAGCAGAGGTGAGGTGGAAGTGGAGGTTTGGGGAGCTTAAATATGCCCGTGCAGATGTCTAGAAGTGACATGAAGAAGACTTTCTCCTTTTCCTTGTCCTCTGTCCCTAACTGAATTTAAAATGTGGATTGCGTATTAGAGTTAACTATGGGAGCACTATGTGAAATGCATCAGACACTTGGCATACACGATTTTCTATCCAGCAATCAGGAAGAGTATATATAACCTGCTGCATAATTTCCTGCGAAGCCACAAACAAGTCATGCATCCTCCAATACAGTTGGTACAGCTGACCCGTGTCTAAAATAGCCCAGAAATTCGAAGAGAAAGTTTTAGCAAGTGCCTTTGAACTGATGCCTTGGTGTATGTGGTATGCCCAGTAATATGTGAGGAGCTCTACCAAACCTAGATGTGCAGAGATTGTTTTCCAAAACGAAAATTTCTTAGAACTACTTTTTAGATCTGAAGGAGAACTTAGAAAACATACAGGACAGTATTTCTTAGAGTGAGTCTCAGTTTCGTAGCACTGCTGTAACAGAAGTACCACATGTAGGTGGTCTTAAAGCGTCAAAATTTATTTTCTCGCAGTTCAGAAGGCCAGAAGTCTGAATTCAGGGCATGGCTACAGCGGAAGGCTGTCTCTCTGGCATCTCTGGGGAAAGGTCCTTGTCCCAGCTTCTGTAGCGCTGGCATTCCTCAATTCCTTCCTGGATGTAGCATCAATCCCATGCCGTCCCCTCATTAGTGCTTCCTTCCGTGTCTAATCTGGTCTTTTTATAACTCAGAAGGGATTAGGTTTAGGGCGCACCCTACACTGATAATAGCTCCATTAATATAACAAAGAAAACCCTATTCCCAAACAGAATTACATCCACAGGTATGCGGATAGGATTCCAACACATATTTTGGGGGGACACAATTCAATCTGTAACAGTGAGTTTGTCCATCAAACATCAAACTTGGAAATACCCAATGTTCTTGTTAAAAATGCAGATTCCTGGAACCTACCTCAGACCTGCTGAATGAATGGGGGCTTGGGAATCTGAACACTTTACAAACTCTCCAGATGATTCGGCTGCATTCAGACATTACAGAATGAATAATCGAATCCAGACGTTTCATTTTATAGATAAAGGAAACCAACATCTAAGATGTAGAGTGAGCCCCTCTCAATGAGACCACATAAATGGTACAATTCCACCCATTAAAAAAGTAAAAAAACAAAACAACTCCATGTTATTGAGATTGAGGAGCAAATAGGAAACACACCCTTTAAAAAAAACAAAACCAAACAGCAAAGGGACAACAGAGGACTTCAGTGAATAATGTTATTCGTGTGTATAGTTACTAGTCAATATGCCCCACGTCACCACAAATTAGTGTGGTTACTTTAAATGGCTAACATGAAAACCTTAACCTTCCACTTCTGAAGTTTTTGGTTTTAGCTACCCTGTTGTTTTTTTTTTTTTTCTTTCTAGGTTCCCAAGGTTACTTTTTTGGACATGAGTTTAGAAATGTAATTATAGCTTTGGTTGCAAACTTCTGAACCACGTAATCAAATACAGACTGTCATAGGGGAAAATAAACGATTCTTGGCTCTGCCTACATTGACATGGAATATTGTGACCGGATTCAAATTCACCTCGGTGACGTGTCTTTGCGGTGGCAGACTTTCCCCGAAAACTCGGAAAAAGAAGATCCGTGATGCCCTGGGAAATGCAGATAGTCGGAGGGGTTTGGAGCCAGGCCCCTCCGGCAGCACCTCACCAACGATGCCTTGTGCTTTTGCTTGTGATCCTTTAAACTCATTTAATATTACCTGCATCCTTTCCAGGTGCAAAGTTTTATTCAGTGTATTATAGACAGGTTGAGAAACAGCGATTTTAGAAAAAAAAATCTTACACGAGAAACTGCCCTCATGGTCTCCAGTTTTCCTGCTAGGTTGGAACAATCAGTAGATTATTGATTTAGATTTGTGTGGCTCTTGAGTGCAAACGACAACCTCTTCAGAATAACATCTGGTCCAGGTATTGCTCTAGGAATATAAATCCCGTCTAAAGGCTGGGTATTCAGAGCTGTAAATAATTCTGTATTTTTACAGTGACTTTGTAAGGGGAAGAGAGGTGTCATTTATCCTGAGCCGAGTTTTCTTTCTGTTACAGGATTTACTCTTACTGCCAGACTAAATCCTTTGTCCAGTACAGCCTCAGAGCTGTGCTCGGTTTTCCCCACCGTGTTACAGATGGTGGTTGCTGCAGACCAAATGACACTTTCTTATTGGTTTTGTGGTTGTTGTTTTCTTTCGTTTTTCTGGAAGAATCCAGAAAGGTCATAAATACAATTAAAGACTATCAGCAAGTGGAAAGAACGCATTTGTATTCCCTTAAGCCTCTGACCCGAGGGCACAGTGTTCTGTTTTCTGGCCAGAGCTGGCGATAAACGCAGCCCAACCCTAGAGGTTTGTGTCTGGACTAGCAATGCAGTTATGAAAAATACATCACGGAGAGAAAAGGCAAGTGGCTGCCAATCCTTCCTTTTTGTTTCTTTTATTCTGGAATGGCCTCCAATTCTTGGTGCATCAAGATGGAAACCCTAGTCGGCCTGGGATAGATGTCACTTTAAGAAGGCTCCACTAACAATCCAAGACTATTTCTTGCACACGCAATGTCGTGGGTCTCTCAATGACAACAACCTTCCCCAACCCCAGACTTCCGCTGTCACTTCACCTGCATCGCCCCCGGCGCCATTTGGCGTTTGACGTGGTTCTGAGCTAACCAACAGCGCCAGCAGCCCTCCGGGACACGCCCGGCCCGAGGCGCGGCGCCCAGCGCGGCGAGGGACCCGCCGCGCCCCCCGGTCGCAGTGGTTTCTCCTGCAGCTCCCCGGGGCTGGGCGGCCCCTGTCCTCTGGGCGGCCCCCGCGCGCGCCGACGCGCATTCCGCCCGGGAAGGTGAGGCGAGCGGAGGTCGGGGCGCAACTCGCAGCCTCTCGGCGGCGCGGCCAGGCAGCCCCGGAGCCGGCAGACAAAAGAGCGCGCTGCGCGCAGGCAGGCGCCACCCGAGCGCGGCGATGTCCCCCGGCGGCCGGGCGCTGCTGGCGCTGTGCGGGACGCTGGCCGCCTGCGGGTGGCTGCTGGGCGCCGAAGCCCAGGAGCCCGGGACGGCCGCGGCGGGCATGAGGCGGCGCCGGCGGCTGCTGCAGGAGGACGGCATCTCCTTCGAGTACCACCGCTACCCGGAGCTGCGCGAGGCGCTGGTGGCCGTGTGGCTGCAATGCACCGCCATCAGCAGGATCTACACCGTGGGGCGCAGTTTCGAGGGCCGCGAGCTCCTGGTCATAGAGCTGTCCGACAACCCCGGCGTCCACGAGCCTGGTAGGGACGCTGCCCCCTGTCCTCCCTCGTGGGGTGGGGTGGGGTCCCCGAGGGCCGTGGGGGGAGCTCAGGGGTGCCTCCTGGAAAAGGGAGTCTACGGTGGAAGGTGGAAGGAGGAAGGAGTGAAGATGAGGAGGACCCGTTGCCAGACGCTGGCATCCCAGTCCGTACCCCACTCCCCTCACCGCAAACCCTGTCCCCAGCCCTTAGGCCACGCTTTGTGATGAGAGGCCCGGGAGGGTGGAGAAGGTGGGGTGGGAGGACCGAGCAGGCAAACGCGGCGGTCACTGTCACGTTGCTGTGTCAAAGACGGGCGAGGGGAGAATCGGGGGTTCTCAGGGAGGGGGGCGACCTTCTTGCAGACAGGAGTGGAAAGATGAGGTGCAGAGAGCAGGACTTAGAGAAAGCGAAGGAGTGTCATCCGTCATTTGGTTCCTAATAGGCCTTGAGTACCCATCGCTACCTGGACCTGCGGATTAGGTACCCCTCTGCTGTGGCCGCTCAGGGGATGTCACAGATACTGGCAGTGCTGGGCTGGTGGTGTGCGCAGATGCGCCGGTTCTCCTCGGAGGGTGGAAAGTGGCCTCTGACGGACATTGCAGTTTTGAATCTGTACGTGTCCTTTCTAAAGAAAAAAAGGAATACTCTATTTTCTCTGCTGTAGCCACTTGCGAGGAGTAGTTTGAAACCAGGTTTTTATTCCAACCGATGCGCCCACGTAGCCATCGAATGCATCTTCCTACTGAGTGTGCGTCAAGGCATGTTTTAATTTATGCGAAATGTGATGCATTTAGTTTAATAAAGAGCTGTTTCAAAAAAAAGTTCTTGGGGGCTTTTTTTTTTTTTTCCAATATATTTCTGTTTTTTGAAGTTATCTCATTCTTTAGGCCTGGCCTTCTATGGGGCAATTCTGCTCTGTCCTATAGGGTCGCTAAGAGTGGGAATGGACTTGTGGGCAATGGGTTTGGTTAGTATTATTATTATTATTTTTTGGTCTTCTGACAGTCAGGTACTGTTAAAGTAATCTGAGCTACGAGTGTTAGCATGGGATCCATTTTTTTTTTTTTTTTTTTTTTTTTAATGACAAAGAAAGCAAGAAAAATAGGCTGAAAATTCTTGGTGCAGGGCTAGAATAGTTTTATCATGATATGTAAGAACCAAACTGAGAAGGATGAAAATAGGTGCTCCATAAAAGTGTTTTGCTCTCCAAATGTTTACTGTATAGCTTGATGAATAATAAATCTTCAAACAGGAAACATTTCTTACATTCAAATAATATAGGCAAAACGATTTGTGTAAGTCTGCTGTCAAAACCCTAAAATCAGATCATAGAAAACGTTTTATATAATGCAGTCGAGCAGGTTTCAGCTTGTAGAATTGGAAGTTTTGAGAATTAGTTTGGTACAGTCATCTGAAGATAAAGAAAAATTTAAGATGTGATGACTTAGTTTCAAATAACCAAAGCCAAGACATCCTAACAAAAACCCAAACCCGTTGCTGTCGAGTTGATTCCGACTCATAGCGATCCTATAGACAGAATAGAACTGCCCCATAAGGTTTCCAAGGATTGGCTAATGGATTCAAACTGCCAACCTTTTGTTTAGCAGCTGAGCTCTTAACCACTGCACCACCAGGGCTCCGAAAGACATCCTAGGCACAGTTAAAGCTAATCTAAAATTTGTGATTTTCCTGGTGGTGCAGTGGTTAAGGAGCTGGGCTGCTAATTGAAAGGTTCTGCAGTTCGATTCCACCAGCGGCTCCTTGGAAACCCTATGGGGTGGTTCTACTCTGTCCTATAGGGACATTGTGAGTCAGAACTGACTCAACAGCAGTGAGTGTGTTTTTTGGTACATAATTAGAACCCTTTGTTCTTCTGAGTTTCAAAGAGACTATGTGAAAGTTAATATTTATTAACCTTTTGTTGCCTTGTTTCAAGTTTGAAACAAGATGATATTGTCAGAAGATGATATACTTTGGAAAATGAAAATAATTCTATTGCATGAATATCTGAAATGCGAAATCCATCAGAATTTGTAAATCCCCCTTTTAGACTATAAGCTCTATGAGGTAGGAACCCAGAACAGGTCTGGCACACAGCAAACATTCAATATACGCTATGGAAAAAATGCGTTAGTCTGTGACTGAATAACACAATGTTTTAAAATAACAATATTGTATTCCTCACAAACAAAATACACAGATTTAATTGAACTTACAAAGCTGAAATCAGAAATGCCTTATATTAATGTGCTTTACAATTCCTTGTTAAGTGAAGGGAGATTGAAGTCCATGTCTATCTATTGTATTTTAAAAAGTAGAAATAAACTATTTTGAGCTAACACTAAAAAAAAATCACAAGGGTGATTTTCTTCCTCTCCCACTTTTTACGAGAGGATAAGTAAGTTAGAAATCTTCAGGGAACTAGTATATGTGGAGATCTGATCGGTACATAAATTTGGTAGTCCTTGTATGAATTAACGTTTTAGAAAGCTTGGATAAAGGAAAATGTTCACTATTCTTAAATGGCCTTCAAATTCCTTTTGGATTAAACTATTTTAAGGCATGAAAAAGAAGTATCCATACCATAAAACCAAAACCAAACCAAACCCGTTGCTGTCAAGTCAATTCCAACTCATAGCAACCAGTGTAAAACTGCCCCATAGGGTTTCCAAGGAGTGGTTGGTGGGTTTGAACTGCTGACCTTTTGGTTAGTAGCCTGAGCTCTTAGCCACTGTGCCACCAGGACCCCATCCATGCCATACTGAGGTAGAAATGGATTCTTTCAGTGTTTCTTGAGCACCTGCCCACTCGGTGCACCGGGATCTGTGGGTTGTCTAGTGATACACAGGAACCAGGAGTTTGAACAACAATATGAAGGTATGAATGGTTATAATGATGGTGGTGGAAGTACGGGAGAAAGGAGACTAGGGACCCTAGGTCAGGGTGATTTGGTTACTGAAGAATGGATGAAAGAAGGCAGGAACTGTAGAGATGACTGAAATTTACCAACTCCAGTGTAGCTTATATAAATGTAAGTTTTAACAGAGCCCACTATTTCTGAAAAAGGGCAAAGGCCTTAACTATTTTTACCTTTTAAATAGTGTGTATTTTTGTCAATTGAATAATATTTCTGATTAAGCTATTAGAAAAGAATATTTAGCTTAATAAATTCATTTGCTTGACTAAAACTTTTATGAAGTTGCTCATACTCATTTTATTTTCCAGCAAGAGAGCTGTGTCAAATTGGTTAATTAGCTTTCTCAAATTGTCTAAAACAACACGTAGCAACACATAAAGCCCTTCCCTTTGGTGGAACCAGCAGGTGAGAGGTTTACTTGCTTAGATAGCAGTTTATGAACAGAATGTGTCTGTTGACGCCGCCAGCTCTCTTCCTGAGCAGAAAGAACTGATCTTCGTAGTTGTCTGGCAGTAGGCTGTGGGCCACACATAAACTTATCTCTGGAAAATGATTCACTTTTTCAGACCTTCAACATTTGGATTCATAAAAAGGGAAAGAAAATTCCGTTTTGAATTAATCAGGGAGGGAAAGATGACACCACAGGAATCAACTTGATTCTTGAGTAGCTGAATGTTGGGTCTCTGCCATCCTTTTGTGTTACTTCAGAGACCTGAAAAAATATGTTGGAGGAGGGTTGCAGGTTGTGGGGTTTGAAATTAACTTCACCTAAGGAATTTGGTCTTTGTCCTGGTTCCTGAGAGATAACCTTGAAAACCTTGAAATTTCCCCAGTAATCATAAGTATCTTTGCTGGGGGCTCCAGACCACACCTAACCTAACCCCCAATAAAGGATCTTGACAGGGAAACTCCATGAGCTTCCTGGTTGGTGACAGACATCGATGAACATGGGAGGGTAGCACGTCTCTTTTCAGGACACGGAAGCTTGGGGTTGGGAACCCTCCAAAATCTCACCCCTTGTATCTTCATTTTGTATCCTTTTTACTATAAAAAAACTGTAATCATAAGTATAGTGCTTTCCTTGAGTTCTGTGAGTCCTTCTGGCAAATTATTGTACCTGAGGGAGTAGTGGGAGCTAGTAGGTCAGAAGTGAAGGGAGGTGAGGATCCCTGAGCTTATGACTGTTATCCTGAGGGGGTAAAGGGAATCCTCAAATTTGGAGCCAACAAGTCGGAAGTCAGGAGAGCCCTGGAGACTCCTGAGCTTACAACTGGCATCCGGAAAGGGTAGTGGAAAAAGCCCAAATTTAAGCCAAAAGCTCAGCAATGAGAGTGTCTTGGGGACTTGCAAGCTTATGGCTGGTATCTGAGGCCTTGGACAGACTTGTGAGATCTGACCGAGCTCCGGGTGGTTAGGATCAGAGGAAGAAGTGCTGCACGTGCAGCTGGTGTCAGCCCAGAAGTACCAGAGAAGTGGGAAGTGAGGACTTGACTTTCCACTCACCAGTGTTAACCAGCCTTGATTAGCAGAACTGCAAGAGGTCTTCCCACCACTGTCATCTCCAAACACACTGTGAGTCCGGACCCAGATGCCTTCTTCCTGTGCCAAGAGTTAACGCTCGTGGTCCATGTGAGACTGGGATGAAGGCTGTGCCTAAGACAGCTGAGACTGGGTCCTTGCCTGATTCTAGGTGCTCAATATGTCCCTGGGAGATACGATACCTGCCAGGCATGACCAGGTTCCTCATTTTTCTTTCCTTTTGCTTATATTTTATTCTTTTTTGATATTTTTACACATATGGACTCCTGTTCAAACTCAAACATATGCCGTCCTAGGCATGCATATCCATCATTGCAATATCAATAAGAGAAACTTTTATTAATTTATGTCTAGGTAACAGAATCCACATTCCCAGACCACTCCTCCCAAAGTTCAATACAAGTTGAGATTAGTTTGTTTGAAACATGAATTCTTCTACATGTAGTTTAAGATTGTTTTTGGGGAGTAGATTTGATTTATACCTAAAATGCTGTCTTAAAAAATTCTTTAGAGCATAGATTTTTCTCTCCCAAATGCTGGAATG